CTGAAAATGCATTAAATGTTCTAGCGCCTGTAAGTGTATCTTACCCCACAAGTGAGATTATAGGAACTTTAAATGTTTAGCCACTTACCTGCTGTCACCTTACGTTAACACTGTCCCTAGCAACCTTAACTTATTTGAATAATATCTGACATGAACAGTGGTAAACCTGACCGACATATTTTGGTAATCATTGTTTTGTTGTTCCGTGCTCTCTGTTTCAATTTTACTTTCTCTAGTTGTAGATAATTATCAATTATTCATCCTGTCACAGGAAATAACCTTAAATAACACTGTTAATATATCAACAGGCTATCCACTTAAGAAAAAAACTAAAAGTTCCCTGCTGATGAATTGGATTGCTGTAATACATGTCATAAATGTACTACCTAAACAATTTCTGAACTAGCAAACTTAAAACAATCTTGTATCACATGTTTGTTCTCTACATCTAATGTTGTTATTTATATGAAATTGATCATGCCTGTAAACTGGCGTGAATTCTGTAATTATTATTTTCAGAATATATGTATATATGTTCTTCATACACCTTCACTAGTGACTAGTTCTATGTTAAGCATGAACAAACATAAAGTTTAATCACTATTTATTAGTTACTGTATTTGGAAACATTTTCTGATAAAAGACATGATCGAAGGAATTCAACTTCATTGAAATTGAAGAGGGAATTTTTAAAGTCATTAGATGGTCGGGTTATAGATTTCAGATTGACTAGAGCCGAATATGTAAACTACAATGGTCTAAATGTATGATTCATTTCGTAAATTGAATATTCGTTTGTTTAATTTCGTACGATATTATTGCTGTGAGGAATTCTAAGTTGAAATAGTATGCTTATCCATCACTTTCTGCCTTTAAACAGACCCCTATTGATTTCGGGTCCTGATGCAAACTAATTTCACCAACTTTGATTTTGAAATTATTGAAAATATCAGCCTCAACAGAGATGATTATTGATTTAGCCTAGAAGAATCGCCTATTCACTTTCGTAATGGGATATGCTGGATAACACGACAATCAGTGATTCACGAATTCAATCACATAGTTATTTTACGTTTTATTTATCAAGTCCATCAGTCAATAATAGTAAGTGGTCGTTCATTGGTCGAATTTCTCTACACTCAACCACAATGTGAGGGGTTTGAACTAATCTCCATCTGTGTTTAACGAAAATTAGCTCTCATATTTAAAGTCTCGATCAAAGCTAAATACACGAACCTATTCTCTATTAAGGAGTTATGGTCAACTTGGTTATTCAGTCTAATAACCATTTGAAGAATGATTTACGTGATTACTGAAGTTCACATAAATTTTGATAATAATTTCTTATGCTAATCAATTAATAATCCTTGAGCGATTTGTTGTAAATTTTGCATGTTAAATGATTTGGATTTGTTTGACGATAATTGCTGTTTCTTTTTTCAATTTTTAAAAAATCTTAAATGTATTGATTATGAATCACAAGGAATACAGTTTCATAAAATATGCGCACAAAAAAACACTATAGGTGTAAATGAGCACCATTTATTATGAAAAGATTCATTATCAACCTCTATGTCAATATACGATTGACAAAGGCTGATAATATTTGGAAGCACAAGAATACTTCCTATGATTCAAACAAACATGTGCTTTCACTCTAGTGAATTTCACAATCTATAAAGTATCCGTACTATCCAACCCTAATTTTTGAGCATGGTTTAGGAGATTTTGTAAATACTTTAAAAGTGATTTTCATCATGAACTAGGCACAGGGTTAATAGTGACTGAAAATTATGTATAACTGAACAGCTACTTCGTTCTAAATCATATTGTTCACAGCGGATTCAAAATTCACGGGATTTTCACTTTAACTTTATATGCTTTTTTTTAAATTCAAACTGGTGAGGAGACGGAAAACTAAGACAAAACAGCTAATCATCTGAAGTCAGTTTCATTTGTTAGTGGTTTCTCAGAAGAAAAATCATGGAAGAAAAAGGACTATTAGTAAGCTATTTTGTTTCAGCTTTTTTCAACAGTAAACTTTCATAAACTCGGAAAATTCTACTACTTCTTGATGAAAAAGATACAGGCGGCTACTGATTCAAAATCCAGTCGTACAGCTTTTCAAATCCAATCAGCTTACCAAAATACATTACCAATTAACTACGCAGTTCGTGATTATACTACAAAAAAATATTATCCAAGACTAATAAATGTTCACAGAACCAATGTTCTGCACAACAAAAGCAGTGTTTCTCTCTACAAATTGATATTTAAGGAGATTCAAACCAAAAACTATATTTTACGAGAATTTTCTGACAGATAACATGACGTCCAGAAGGTTGAAGGTGATAATAACTACTTAATAATTTTTCTTATCGTATATAAGCAGTATAATAGTAATATTTATTAAATGCATATTTTAGCACAAACGCACTTGTGTTGTCTTTACTCCATTTATCATTTTTGAAACGCAAGTTATCCTCGGGAGTAATTCAGTTTACTAAAATTTTATAATGAGTGTTTCCAAACCATAATGTAAAATCCCGAAAAATATTATAACTATACAATGATTAACAGATTCATCTGTCTTACAACTCATGTTTTGTTTATTCAAATTTCCGCTTGATCTACAGATTAGTTCACTTTAATGAATGTAGTCTAGAAAGAGTAACCTCACAGACACATTTCTCCGATTTCCCATAATTTTTAGTTAACTTGGAGTAAAAAAACCCACTCCATACAGAAATCACAGCAAACTTAACACGTAAAAATTTTAAGTTCTTACAGATGAAAATAATAAAGGTACAAGAATTTGAAGTAATGAGAAATTCTCAAAATGATGTGTATCATGACCGCACTTTAGTCTTTTGTCTAAATTTCCAACAAAGTGTTTTTATTACTAACAAGTAATATAGTTTCAAAGTTCAAAACAGACTATTAACTCTATGACATTTGTTACCTTTAGAGCCGGAATACTCTCCGGGGATTGGTGTCGAATCTAGCGTGGCAGTACTGTAAGACCAACTAAACAAAATTGAAACCTAGTCAAAGTACTTGGTTATGCTAATATATTATTTCCACCACTAGGAACAGATTTTTAGATCTTCATTCTCTCAAAATGACCAACAACCATCATTCAAAACTAACTATCATAATTTTAAGGTAACTAGCTTGCGCAACAGCTTCTTAGTCCTGTCTAAAATTTCTTTTGACTCCTTTGGCCTACTGTATTTAACCTTGTCTAGTAACTCTGCTTTTTGGTGTGTATTGAAGAGGCAGCAATGTTGCGTCCCTTGTATAGAGTGGCCTAAGTTGGTGAATCATTGGGTTGTGCAGCTTGAATTTATAAATATGATTCTAGTTAAGTCTGTTGTAGGTTAGCTTAGCAGATGAAAGCTATTACAACAATCATTAGGCCAATTACAAACTATCCATCAAATTTTATTCAATGTTTTACTGGAGAATTCGATTGGAAAATGTCTGATAGAAAATCGTGTATGACATTAAAGATTTTCAGGCTGATAACTTGCTAAAAATGAAAACTGATCAGTCTGCATATTGAGAACAAGAGCCAACAAATCCCCACCATTTGGAGTGGGGGGAGCACCGAGAGATAAATGGCACAAATAGTATTGTAATGCCTGTCCTTAACTGCTGTTCAAATGACCCAATTTGACTTTTCTGCAATAGAATGACTGCATAGGCCTACGCAGTGAGAAATTAACACTTAAAGTGGAACTTTATTTTGATATTTGACCTCCAATAAGCAATGCGAATATTTAATTCTTGTTCGCTTGTAACAATGACCTCTGCATAAAAATTTCTAATTATGGTCATATCAGTATTAAATAGACGTCGGTAACCTACGAAACTTACGAAATATGAGTTAGCACTAAATACACTATTATATTCAGCCGTTAGCTACAGTTATATTACGCTGACATAGTGCAAATGTATAACACTTCAATGTATTTTTGAGAGACCTTTTGTTTTTTAGTTAACTGAACTCTGAAAATTCTTACTCTCAGTTCTAACTGTTCTCCGATTATTCATGTTTACGCCGCTAGTGTAGTAAGAGTTAATGATAGAAAGACAATGTGAATTTGTGGATGGACAATGTGTTAATAATCTGTAGGTAGTTAGAATAAAATATTTATTTTTTGGGTGGATCTGGATCCACTCGCTTTAAGCCACTTAGTTAGAATTCAGAGGTCTATATTTTTATTGACACTTAACGGATAAAATAGTTTGATTTCCCCACAATATTACTGAAACGATGTGAGTAGATGGATTGTGAATAAATTAAACCAAGAAGGTCATGTACGTCTCTTAAAATGAATACAATGATAACCGTGCTGAAAGTTTAATATTGGAAAAGTAATCGGTCACAAAATTATACTCATCATAATGAAATACGCGACAAACATTGTAAGGTTTGGCATGGACAGAAAAAAGCTGAACAAATGCCATCCATACTCACAAACGAAAGGGTCAAGCATCAAACTGATTAATAAAACACCAATAAGTAAAAACTCATTAAAAAAGGGTTGATCGTAAGTAATGATAATGGATAACATCGCACAAATGTCACAAAGGGTTAGAGATTTGTACATATGAGTCATTATGAATGCATCAGAGTTGGGGAAAAAGAAGCAGAAAACCTTATTAACACTTCTTCGTTTGTTTGATGTACGAAATATAATTCAATCCAAACAAAATCAACAGTCAGTTCGATTGATCCCATGTGTTTAATAACATCATGGAACAGAGAGTCGAAAATAAAATCACCAAGGGAAATCTCTGCAGACTCAAGTCGGAGTTATTTTATACTTAGGCTCCTTCATATCGATGAAATAACAGCACACTTTTGTAATCATAAAAGGCAGAAGACAAACACCTGTAAGAATAAAAACATTGGGAATAGTTCTCACAAACCACAAACAATTGTTTAGTTCGCGTGGTAGGTAATATTTAATGATGTATGATAATCGATATTGTCACTGTTTTTGTTTTACCTCTTCGATTATCTTGACTAACGTTTGAATAAAAGTTTTAATCTAAAACGAGAAAAAATACTTAGGATTGAAACTGGAATTAAGTTTTTTATTAATATTTATATATTTATATTGTTGTAAAAAATTTAGGGCATCTTCAGAATCAGCTCAACTAGTTTTATGAGACATACGATGGGTTTAGTCAAATGATTTATTTATAGAACGGTTATATCTGTCATAAGGGTAAAAGTATAGTCTAGCTAGTTCATTCTGTCACTCTTTATAGATATAAACCACTGACGTATATCTGATTAAATTTCTAACAAATCTACTGCTTATTCAACGTACTCATAGAAATACTAGAAATCAAAGTAGTCTATACAATATGAAGCCTCATCACACCTATATACTATTAGTACAATAGTTACCAACGCTTTAAATTCAATTTAATGGTATTTTGTAAGCAACAAACCTGTGAGAACAATTAAATTTAACAGGTACATAATTCAAAAACTAATAAAAAAGCATGTTATCTTTACTAGAACACTCATATGATAAAGCGGGGTATCATTTTTTCGTCATAAATTTCTCCATAAACTGTCAAAGAAAAGTCCTTGTAATCTTGTTTGAAACTGAAGTACTATTTTTAGCCCAGAAACACTTCGTATAAAAGAATTTCAACTATCTGAATATTACATTTAAGTGACCGAGTCCGTAATTTTATTTAATTTCAAATATTCTTAGCTAAAAACACTTACATTGTAGACGTTCATAAAGTTTTACTCAAAAGCATGTGAGTGGTATGCTGATATGACACTAAATTACGTACAACACACATTTCTGCTGTCTTTTCAGAAGAATTTCCCAATAAAGGTGTAATTCAGCTAACTTTAAAATCAGAAGTCAGTTTGTCTTATTTTTTGTCCGTACAATAGCATACTATTAGTTGGTTTTATACTTTAAAGTGTCAGAAAATGGGAGAAAAAGGACAGTCATAGATAATACCAATGTACCAAGAAATGAGGTGTAACAAGTATCTTCTTCAGGTTATAATTTGTCTAATGTGTATGCGCGTTTGTTTTATACGAGCCTTTCATGTAGTGATAGAAAGTGATCTTTACTCAACTTAACGGTTGTATGTGTGCATTTGAACAGAATAAAGGAAGCCATATTTACGCTTGTGAAATAAATGGCTCGAAATTTACTTGAAATTACCATTAGATAATCAAATAATCGTATGGTGATATACATTATTTAACTCACTGCTCTTAATTGTTTGCAAGTTTCATGAGGCTTAGCCAATTCGCCATACTTCTGATGCGATCGTACGATATTATACATATTAGCAACAGCTCTGTGAATGGAAATCAACTGCATATAACTCTGACTTACATCACTATGGTGCTAAGTTCATAAATGCGATTAGCAGCTACGTCTCTTATGTGCTCCCATTGAGTCTCTTTATTTCTCCCACTCACTTGTTGCAATTCCAAGTGATTACGAAGCTCAGCTATTTCGTTAGTTAAAGAGAGTTTTTCATCTTGTTTTGTCTGATGAATTATATCACGATATATCGGTCAGATTACCTTTTTAAAGTGAACAAGTTCACTGTTTTTGTTGTCTATAAGCTTCTGTGTTTTTATATCTGAACTTTTCAAATCCTGCAACTCTGTGAGTTTTCTCAAATTAACTAACCTCTAAGTTGGCTTTCAGAGCGTCGTACCGTGATATGAACTCATAAACATCGGAAAATTCATCGGACATTTTAACAACCGACTCAAGAAAGAGTCGATATTTAAGAAGTGACTTGACCTTTTTTTCTTGCTTTTCACGCACTTTGGTAAGTCGATCAATATCATCATTTAAACTACGGAAATTTTTTGAAGTAAACTATTAGTTACATATTGATTTCAGTTTGCTTTTGTTGTTGTAAGCCTTTTTCTGCTGATATCTTTTTCATCGCTCTTACTCTCTTTTCATCATTGTCTTTGAAGAACTGGTCAAACTTTATGAGTGACTCTTTAAGTTCACACTCTTTTTTCTCAAGGTCTTCTCTTCTTCTTTGCATACATTCCATTTTGACCCTAAACTCCTATTAGAATAGTGACCATAGCGATTAAAATCATTGTACTTCTTTTTTTGCCGTAAGCGCGCTCTGAACATTCTTTAGCTCTTTATATTTTTCTAAAAGTTTGGTAGAATTAGTTAAGTTTCTGTCTTCATCTGCAGGTGCATTACTTAAAAATGAATAAGAATAGTAACTAGGGTTACACCAAAAGTTTTTCTTGAAACACAGTTTTAAGATATTCTTCAATGTTGAACTCCGCATTCTTTAAAGCTTTTGTAAACGAATTAGACTTTTCAACTTTTGACTCCATTTAAAAGATCACCATGTTAGTAACTAGGGTATCACATACTTCGAAAAAGTAAAACTACGACAAGGTCAAATGTTCAAAATGGACAATAGAAAAGGATCTTCTTTCAACTGATACCTTAGGACTATTTTTGACAATGAAATTTATCATACATCATTTAGCCCGAATCAGCATTTAAACAATGCTCCAAAGTGTTCCAAATGATTTCAATGGTTGCAGATGGAATAGAAGAAGCTTTCACTTAACAGACTTTCGTATCTAATAAAAATGAGCCTCCAATACTTCTAGACAAATTACTAGGTAGACTTGACGATTAAAGGAAAGGCGTTTGTAGGTTGTAGTGAAAAACTCTCCTGAGTCCATAAAAATAGGTCCAGCTTAAATTGTTGTGGATAGAATAGAAGGAGCTTTCGCTCAACGGGCTTCGGTGTCTAGTAGCGGTGGGTAACCAATGATTTTTGGATACGTTCCAGTGTATTCTCATTTTTTGAGTTGTGTACTCTAAACGAGGCCCGAATAAAATTGTCAAACACTTGGTGGAACATTTTACTGTCAAACTTGTCAAAAATAGTGTTTTAACGTTACCAGTGCATGATTCGCTTGAAAATCACTCTTGCCACAGAAAGAGTAATACTTGAGATCACCAGATACCAACACTCCTATATCTTTACTAACTCCGACCACCTCTAAATACGACCTACCCAAGTTAAATAGCGAAATTCTCCCTGAGATTTTCAAGTTGTCTTTTTAGACATGAATTGAGACAGTCTATTAACTGTTAGTTGACACCCAATAGTTTGAGAGTACTGATGAAACAAATATGATTAGCTTTATCGAAATCTTTTGAGAAGTTAAGGGACTCCCAATTTACCGTCAGTATATGCTTACATAGATGTCTAACTCTTAGCCGACAAAGGTGAAAGTAACAGGTAACTCATATAAAAATCCTTTTCGAGAAACTGGACTGGTATAAATTAGTAGTGAATCCTGACAAATATGAGTTCGAGAGACGATCCTCTTCATTTTTAAGCCATGTGCTCAATAACCAAGGTATAAAACAAGTTTCTGAGTTAACACAAGTCATCAAAATCTATCCTTTTCCCGATTCACCTAGGAACCTAGGACATTGATCAGCTTCAACCTATGCTTCATTCCGAAGTGTGCTAGCATAGTGAAACCACCAACAAACTTTTATCAGGACTTGGTAAATCGGTTACGATGACACCACGAGGAATTCGGGCATTTGAAAGGTTGACAAACGCCCTGAACATGCAGGTGTTGCTTGTATGGAGAAATGTTGATGAAAATTAGGCAGCAATAACCAACTCTTCTAATGTAACAACAAGTGTTGTATTTCGGTTACGTGTCAATCAGTAACGGAAGTCTCTTGCATTTATCTCGAGAAAGCTTGATGTAACACAAATAGAATGTAGCACTTTCGACAGGGAACTTCAAGCTGTCTACTTAGCTATCAAATACTTCAGACACATGTTAGAGGGAGATTCCTTCATGATATTTACTGATCAAAAACCAACAAACAAAGCCCTAATATATAATCACGACAAATATTCTCCGCGTAAAATTCGCCAACTTGGGTTCATTCCATAAGCTGCAACCGATATGTTAAAAAAAGATGCTGGTGACACATTATTGAGATTAAATATTAATATATTTTCCACCTCTGATATCAGTCATCAATTTATAGCGAAAAGTCAAAAGCTCACTACGGAGCTAGACAAACTTATTCAACCCAACGAAGCAACTTTATTTTTACAACAAATCCTTGTAAACAACAAGGATACTTGACCTGTGATATCTCGACAGATAAAAATCGCCCCTTGATACCTTATTACATGAGACGAAACCTTTTCGAAAAGTTACACAGCATATCTCAAGAAGGTATAAAGTTTGTCACGGACTTCTTTGTATGGCAAAAGGCTTACGTAAACAGGCACGAGAATTTATCCAATGCTAATAGTCAAAAGCTCACGGAAACATTATACCTTCTGCTGGTGTTTTCCCTGCCAATAGCGCTATTTTCCACCAAATTCATACCAAAGTCGTTACACCATTAGCAAGTTCCGATAAGCATAAACATTTATTACAATGTATGGGCAGATTCAAGAGATGGCCCATATCTGTCCCGCGAAAAGACACGACAGAATCAACTGCTGCAAACATATTGGTGAAACAACGGGTTGCGAACTCTGGTGTCACAACAAAAATTACGTCCAATCGTGCAGCCCAGAGTGAAAGCAAGCTGTTCCAGTAGCTTACGGAAACTTTCAGCATAAAGAATCTATCATAAAGCAGCTATCTGAATGACAAAAAGGTTTCATTGACAGCTAAAAGCCTCTGTGACAACCACAAGGAGAGGTCGCGAATGAGATATCAAGCATCCTCTTGTATTATTAAGCATCCTCTTAACTATCAAACAAGGCCTCAGTTGCTGTGCTGTTGTTTTTATGACATAACGTTGCGTTTGCAGGTGAATTTTTTAACAGTTCAAACGATACCCCAACAGACATAACCAATTACGTACAACAACTGAAACAACGGATGAAGTCCATTATGTCCTTCAAACCACGAACCTAGAAAGCATTATCATTCGTACCCATTGAAATAGACGAATGCTTACATGTATTCGCCAGAAATGATACAGTACGACAGCCGTACAAACCCCTTATGATGGTCCTTTTTAAATCATCTGAAAAGACAGCAAAATAGTCACAGTGGGAAGAGCAGATAAACATGACACTGTTGCGTTCGAAGAAATACAACCAGAGTTTTCAGTGAGCATTAAAAAACAAACAACAATAAAATCACCTAAAGCCACCTCAGAGTTAGCACAGAACAACTTACCTGCGACAAGCAGTGCCATTTCTTAACGTAGCCGATTGCAATCGTCGTATAATATGTCTGAGTAAATTTATTGGAGGATAAAAACACCACAATGTTCAAGGAAATAGTAATAGACAGATGCTCGAGCAACGATCGTCATGTATATTATTTGTAAGTGAAAAGTCTCAATGTCATGTATGGTGATCTGCAGAGGACGGTACAAGTAGTGGATCACTAATTAAGAATATGTCCTAGTAGGTCAATGTATATGAAATCAAACTGGCTTTTGTAGGATACACTTCATTAATCCAAGCGTTTCACAAGCAAGTCAAAAACTCATCGCACAGTAAGAAAAAGGTCTATCAAATATCAAGTTAAACATAAAAAAACATTTCAACAATAGCGCTTTCTCAAACTGCAGTGTTCCTATTCCAAAACAAAATAATATAATAGACATAAAAAGTTACAACGACGTCCAAATGCCATAGTATATCAAAAAACTGTTGACCTGATGTATGACATACAGCTATATTCATTAGTACTGAACACTGTACCTATGAAACAGAAGTGAATAGTTATAACCCTAAATTAGTATATACATGTTATCGTTTCTCTCTATGACACTTTTGTATTTTGTCTCTCACGTCGTGAGAATACTCTTATGACGGATACCGATAAGAACCTCTATGTTAGCGCGCCTAATGTTTAGAAAAAATACTTTCCACCCCGTATGCTGCCGTAAAACGTGTACTCCTGAGGTGGTCGGGGAATACTAATAAGTTACACATAATGAACACATCTTCAAGGTTGAGCCATGCCATCTGATTGGATGAATGTCTTCACGTTCACCACTGCCGACCTTCTCAAAGTGTTACATGTAGAATGTACATCTTTTCAGTCATAATATGCTTCGGGAAACAATGACACCACAATAATTTACCCGAATATACTGTCATAGTGAAGAAACTTAAGTGTACAATGCAACATTCTAGCGAAAAGTCCAAACTGTTACAATACTACAAGTTTTCGTAACGAAATGGGTACTTATAAAGCAAACAGTTAGTAGTTTTTTAGTATTCACAGAGTTACCCGTTATGATTATCGGTATATCTCCCCATGATACTACTAAGAAGATGAAACTAAAATTTGGGCAAAAGTTTGTTGATGCATCATTACTACTGGTACAGAAACAGCAGTATTTGATGCAGAAAGATCAGTTTACTAGTTAAAAATACTACTACAAATAACTTCTCATAGTAAATAGTTCATGTCACGTCTCCACACTTTGTTGTATTCCAATCCATGTTTTCTATCGTAAAGAATACTACACAAAGACAAGTGTTAGAAAAAACTACAGTCTTCCCTACCTGTTGATGAATCTTAGCTAAAAATTGGCTTCTTTGAATCTTTACATACTGCTCGCTTAGTCTGGCTAGTGATACTGTTGTTATTATGGAAGGTGTGAGTGTTATCTATCTTCCATTGACTGCAATGTCTAAGAATATGATGAACTATACAGTTTATATTTTGCAGTCGATCGAGTTCGTCTTCTTATGTACGCCAGCAGAATATGACGGAAGGGATACAGGCATGCCACATTTTATTCACGATCTAGGTTACATCTGCTCTCAATTCTTTTTGCTACCAGAAAAACAGAACAGGATGCCCTCGACGAAAATTTACCCAAACCAGACAAAAGTTTTTCAAAATAGGGAGATCGGGAAGACACGAAGCAACAATCGGTTCAACGTGTGCACGACAAGACAGAGAGAGCTAAACCAATGTTCTTCGCAATGATTTTGTTGTTTTCCTTCAGCAAAAGACCACTTATGTATGAAAAAACCTAATATTTGTGTAACCCAACAGACCCTCAGCAATTAAAATACGGAATGACCGCCTCCTGTCAGGTCGTTGAAACGGAACGGTGGACGGCTGTGAATGGATCTGATTTTTTGCTGTGCTATTTCCCCGAAAAAGAACAATAACCTGCAAATATTCGATGTCAGGAGAAAGATTGACTTTTCCCCTTTATTTACTATTTCCTTTATTGGTTGCTTACGTCATTTTGAGCTGGGAGTGAGGTCCACAATAAGGCATGTGATTTCACGAAGTGTAGACAATTCAGTGATATTTCAAAGAAGAAAATTCACATTGTTTCCCCA